GGGGCGGCGCATAGGCGGCCTGGGGCTGCGCCTCGGGCGCGGCGTACTCGACGGGTATGTCGCTGCGGGCGGGCGGGGAGAAGCCCGGGGGCGGCAGCGCGAAGACGGGTTCCTCATCGGTGGCCGCCGTGACGAAGCCGGTCAGGCCATTTTGGTTGTTTTGGATCTGGAACAGGTGAAGGTCAATGTCAGCGTGGTTGTGCCCAAGGTCTCGAGCCGAGAGCTGCCCGGGGCGCCCGGGGCCCGGCTGCCCTGCCCGGTAGCGTGGACGGTGGGCAACTTATGCTACAATAACACTTTGAAGATCAATAAACGGCATGGAGCACCGTTTCCGGCCCAACCCAAGACGCCCGGTCGCACTCACCGGCGTAAAGGTGTTCTGGGGAGCGAACCGCTGCTGCTGTTGATACTGCTGCTGCTGCACCGGGAGCGGGGCGAAGCTCACGCGAGGGGGCGCATCCTTGGTGATGAAGCGGTCCGGTGAGATAAAGCGAGGCAGTGCCGGGGCCTGGGGAGGCGTAGGCTGCAGCATCTGTGTCGGGAACCTCTTGGTGGCGGCCGCGGCCGAGCACAAGGCGAAAAGCACCAGCAGCTTCTGCAAGACCAAAGTTTAAAATCAGACGACACGGCTGCGCACTAGAAATCACATTTTCAGAAATTAAAACAGTCATAGATGGATTTTCGTTATGTGATGAAACACTCAGCCGGGCCCGGTGCCCAGTGAGGCCCGCGGAAGATACTTGCCATGTTGAAGGGTGAAGAGCTACTGCTGCTGACCACAGAGGGAGGGCTGCCCATTTATACTGCACCCCTCTCCCACCACCGCCACGGCCTGTCATTGAGAAAGCGTTGCCCAGGGCGGTGCATGTGTCCACCTCCAAAAAATGAGTCGCAGATGAGAGACGATAAGGTAAAGAAGAGTTCATCACTGAGTAAACTGGCACTGTTCGAATCATTGGAAATCGAACTAAATTGGATTACAAGGTTAATAATCTAGTAAACTTGCATCAAAACAAAACAATAATGGTCTGCGTACAGGCTTCGCGATAATACACCTTCTAATGCGAAGACTCGAGAGTTTTACTTTGATTTCAACACCTTGGCTTGGATACTGTGTGGTCACGTGGTCACCCCTAAAATATCATCCGCGCTCAACGTAGCTTCCGCCTTGGTGCATTTCACTGGGCATTCCAGTAGCCAAGCCCTTGGTTTGTGGCGGTTTGCGGTGTATGCAGCCACATCGCATTTACAATAGTAAACTGAGGTAACTTTGGCCCACCGGGGTTTTGCCCAGGGCCTAAAATCATGCTCAAAATGCTGATATGGTGCTGCAGGGTTCACTGTAGCTTGCAGTGAAGTCACCGTTGCAGCACCGTATTAGGATTTTAAACATAATTTTAGGCCCTGGGCAAAGTTACCCCGGCGGTCCAAAGTTACCCCAGTTTACGGTAATTGAAGAGTATTGCCGAGAATATCAATCACTTTTCATACTGTGTTCTTTTCAGAGTGCTGGGGTTAAGTTAATTGATTACCCTTCCCTTATCTGGGAGCCGCATTCCCTATCGCATCGGGCAGAGCGCCTAAAGCCTCGTTTGACAGATACATTCCTATCTCTCAGCTGGAATGGATGGTTGGGCTGGAGTGATTTGACCGCCACTTTTTTCTAATTCCCAGAGATAAACTAATGTCCCTCAAAAACGGTGTTATTCGCCCCCTAACCCCTTTAATAAATTTATTTATTTATTTTACCAGTCGACTGGAAGGGAACCCGATTGGAGTTAGGGTATGTGTGCGACCAAGGGCAGTGAGGCAGGTGTTCGCCCTCACAAGGGTCGTCATTAGGGCACAGTCCCATTCGTCGCGTAGAACGTCGTCGGAGGACATGAGGACATTGAAGTTAATGCACCCGTCCGAAACAGGATGTGGTGGTATAATTTTTTGTCAAAATTGTCAACATACAAAGCGACTAATGTGTTGACTTATTGACGTGATTGAGTGTGATCGTTAGCGGACAGCGCACGCTCCAGCTGCTTTTTTTTTTCTCTGTACCAAAATAACTAACATGGAAGTTGAGAATCATGCTCACTCTCACTCCCCATGTTTTCCAGCAGGCGCCGCGAGTATTTTCACGTAAATCTAACTCGTCGTAGCCTGAGGCCGGAAACACGCATGCTCGCCACCGCTGATCCAACCGTGATCGCTTGCCGGAGGCTGTGTGTTTCCCTGCTGATTCAACGAGCTTACGCTTGACCCGCTGGACTCGATCGTCACCCCCTTTCCTTCTCCCATCCAGATCTCTTCTTCTATCTATCATATTTTTTCCTCCCTTTCTCCGCAGTTCTTTTCCCCACCCCTACCCCCTCTCTCCCTTTCTTCTGTTTCGTCTCTGCGCGGTCAGAACGAGTAGGAAAATGTCATCAAGGCCAACCGGAAGACACCGAATGAATGGCGATGGCGGCACATGTTTCGCCTCTCGTGAGGTGAGGTGAGT